TATACCAGCAGCATACCCACCCGGTCGAGCAAACGCGCCGCGTACGATAACCCCTTCGACGAACTCGAGGAGGCTTTTCCTTCGGCAGGGCTCCCTTTGGGCGCTGGCGAGGCCGCCGATCAAGGCCGTATCTGGAATTTATTCCACAAAGGGGAAGATAGGACCCCCGGGTTATCCCCTATGGCCGCCGTGAAGCGAGACCCATCCCACCGCTGCCGCGATAAAGAGGCGCACCATGGCAATACGGAAAGATCCGACAGTTTACCTCATGACAGCGCTGTTGACAGCGGGACCATGGTACTGACGGACGACTTATTGCGAAGCTGGATTGGTTTGGAGGATTTGGATCAGGTGCTCAGCACCAAGCTCCGTTTTGATGCCGAGGCGCTCATGGGTGTCGACCGGCTCGGCGTCAAACTTCCAAAACTCACCTCGCTCAAGCTCAACCGTTCTAATATTCCACATTTTCGTCTACTTGGAGCCAGGTACTTGGCGTTGAGGCATTTGTGGATCAGCAATTGCCACGTCAAGGACCTCCGTGGTATTGGGGCGTGTGCTCCGGGTTTGGTGGAACTCTACGCGTCTTTCAACTATATTGGTGATTTGTCCCCCTTGATGGACCTGGCGGAGACTCTTCAAGTGGCGGATTTAGAAGGAAACGAAATTGCGTGGAGTGCTTCTTTGGGTGATATTTTATACTCACTTCATAATGTATTATCATTAAATTTTCAAGGCAACCCCGTCGAGAACACCCTGGTCGAAGAGTTGATGCGTAGTATTCCTCCGCACAATGAAAGCGGCGAAGGCGATTTGCTGACAAAAGAGGAGGTCTCAACGACGGTGGATACAATTGACCTTTTCTCTTCTGGTGGTGGTGTAAATTCGTTCCGAAAGATGATTCTATCCCGTATGCCGCAGCTCCAGCTTTTAGACGATATTCCCATTCATGATGACTCATTTTGGGAGGTCGGGGCGCTGCGGAGTATGGGAAGCCACGAAGGGCTCCCCTCCCCTGGCGCGATGCGGCGGAAAGCCACGAACGATTTCGAGTCGGCCCTGCTTTTCTCGGAGGACGCGGCCGCGCGGGATCCACCCGATCCCGCCTGCGCGTCCGATTCCTTATCGGACAAGTTCCTAAAACGCCGAAGCCACGTCTTTATTGATCCTTTAGATACGGTACTGACGGAGGAATTGGCTCTTCTTCAGGATTGCATTCGAAGTACGCGCTTTGATGACGCCTTGGATCGGGCGATGGAGATCCAGCATCGTGAGTTGTGCATCCGGCCCTCGACCTCCGCGGCCGCGCGGACGTTCCCGGCGTTGTCCACCCCCCCGAATGGATTCCCCCATCCCCACAACGCGTCCTCGCGAATTTCAGGCGAGCAGCCTCGACAGGCGGCGACGTCGTACACCCCGAAAATGCCCAGCCGTCGTCTACACGAGGTTGCGGAGGGCGCCAAATCTTTAACGGCGGGATCCTCGCTTACAACAGGGGATGTTTTTACCGGGAGCGCCATCGTTTCTCTCCGCAAACGTCTTTTAGGGCCGCGGCATCAAAATTCGGCGTCGATTTCGGCCTCCAAGACGAGCACCGAGGAGGAGATCCCCTTCTTTTCCCCCACCGTCCGCGAGGTCGAGAGCAGTGAGGGCGTCACCAATGAGAAAGGGAGTGATGCGAAGAGGGTTTTTTCGGCAAGTTCCTGCGCGATCTTCTCCGAGATCGGCTTTGACAAGGATGAGGACTTTTTCGACTGTGGGAGCATGGAAGGGGAGGGTAGCGAGCATGAGTGGGAGCGGTTGAAGTATGAGGAGCTGCAGGGTAAATGTCGGTGCCGGCCGGCCTCTACCTCCGCGTCTTTTAGATCTCGTCTGCTAGAGTATTCGAATGATGAGGTGAGCGATACCGCAAGTTTGTTTTGTGGTGCGCGACGATTGGGGAAGGATTTCGGTAAAGCGGCTGAGGAGGTTTCGATGCGTGAGCTTCTGATGAAGGAAGTCGCACGCACACGCATGCAGATCGCCCGCGAAGGGGCGAAAAGTATTTCTGACCGATAAAGGATTTCAGAAAATAATTTTATATTCCCCTTCCTTCTCCTTCCCCTTTCTCTTCTTTCCTCTCTCCTCCCCTCCCCTCCCCCCTCCCCCCTCCCCCCCACCCACTCCTCTCCCCACTCCTTTCTTTCCGACATGATCCTTGGTTTTAAATAAATGTTCATTTTGTAAGTGTATTGTGAGTAGTAAAAGCGTAAGTGATCTGAATAAACCCAATGAATCTTTAGCCCGGGATACATTTTCGGTAAATGTGCTAGGCCCAACTGCTGAATAAAATAAATATTTGTCTTGCAATTTAATATAATAACAAAAGTTTTTACACGCGGTCATACACAAAAGATAAAATGAAAATCGCGAAGCACTAGTCATAATTTTAATAGAAGACTTCATAAGAACCGTTTCTTCTATATGGCTATTATGCTTTTTGACTTGCGTTTTTGGTTTTGGTTTGCTTTGATATTATTTACACTTGGTCCTGCCTCGGTGAGTGATCTTTTTCCCTTTATTTTAGCGTAGATTTGCATCAGTACAGCTGATCGATGTTTATTAATACCCAAACGAATATGTATGGTCATTGTAATCTATGGCAGACTTCGGCATTTGGTTGGTTTCAAGTATCATGTAAATGACGATATTATTAGTAAGTTGGTTGAGAGTGTTAATCCTTTTTTTTTAGAGTTGTTCGCTTTTTTCTTTTGCATTTTAATAAATATGGGGAAACCGGTCTATCTCTTTGTCTTTTCTTGTATATGTTAGATTGCATTGGCCTCACTACGTTAGATAGGGAGAGGATGCTCAATTTTTTTTGCTGGGAGGTGATGGTCCCTGTGTTTTTTAATTCAAACCGATTTTCCTAAGTGACCCTTTCTCTTTCGTTTAGCTCCACAGTAATACATAGCGGGAGTGTCTTTAGTGCGCAGATAGACGCATGCTAGAGTCTTCTCATTTTTCCTAGCGTTCATCTAACAGGCAGTAATCGATCAATGGATACAAAGATCTATTTATAGTTGTATCTACATACCTATATATACACATATATATATATAGGTATGTAGAAACTTGTTTATTATTTTATATTTTTAAGCGAAAAGGTATTGATTATTTCAGAGTAATACGAGAAATATTCATGATTGGAAAACAGATTGTATTGTGAACAAAAAAAAGTATATATTTTAAGAGTTATATCTACTTTATAGCGAATGCTTCTCTTTTTTTTTTACCCAATTGAATTTCCTAATGTAAAATCTCTCCTCTCCCCCATTAGGGTAAACACAACTCAAGGTGACATGTAAGGTTCCTTTCTCTTTGCTATGAATTTTTATTTATACTTGGTGTGATTGGTGCTAATCTGTTCCACAATGGAGCATTTTTCAACGTCAGTTATTATTTAGGGGCGCTTATTTACACAGAAGAATAATTTGAGTGAAAATTTAAGGTGAATGATGTCTTAACAGGGTATATATATTTTTTAAAAATCTTGTTTACTTTTCATTTTTTCTTAATTATTCGAGGGGGAGAGGACGTGCGATCTGTTTCTCTATACCTCTTTGTTGCCTTTTCACTCTTTAGTTCAGTGATATTTGTGTGATTTCATTTGTAAAGGCAAAATTTTTGCGCTATATATTCTTTGTAGCGCACGTTAGATCATCTTTTCAACATCTTTTTAAAATTCAAATGTCTCCATCATTGAATGAAACTCCGGCGTCAGACCAACAATGATCCTTTTCCACCATATTATGCTTCTTATATATATATATATATATACACACAGATATATATATATATATATATATATATATATTATTTTCACTTACTTTTAAATTAACTTAAA